TTAAGTGTTTTGGGTTTTGTGGCTGTTTTTTAGTGCCATTGAGAGTATCATCCTGTGAGAGGAAAAATTATGTTACTACAATAGGCATATTAAATATATGCATGGAAATATCTTTATTTTAAAAGGGTGACACTGATAGGTAGACAGGAAGATCTACATTTGAGTGGCTCTTGCTCTTTTATGAGTATAACCAAGTTTTCTTAAAGCAAATTGATCCTAAAGAGGAATTTAAAGAATAAAAATGGGGATAGCATGCCAGATGGGTTAGTGGGAGGGTTTTCAAAGTATGTGAGAATGGTGTAACAAAATCAGAAATGAAAGTGGGAAGACTTTAAAAAGAAAACTGTTGAATAGAAACAGCTTAACTTTTTAAAATACCACTGTTCATACAGAAATGTACTGCCTAGGGGCTTCCCTGGTGGCACAGTGGTTAAGAATCCGCCTGCCAATGCAGGGGACACAGGTTCGAGCCCTGGTACGGGAAAATCCCACATTCTGCGGAGCAACTAAGCCAGTGCGCCACAACTACTGAGCCTGTGTTCTAGAGCCCATGAGCCACAACTGCTGAGCCCATGTGCCACAACTACTGAAGCCCACGTGCCTAGAGCCCGTGCTCGGCAACAAGGGAAGCCATCGCAATGAGAAGACTTCGCACCGCAACGAAGAGTAGCCCCCGCTCGCCGCAACTAGAGAAAGCCCGCGCACAGCAACAAAGACCCAACACAGCCAAAAATAAATAAATAAATAAAAAAGAAATGTACTGCCTATATAAATTTCTAAACAGCCTCTATCCAGAAGAAACTAGTACATACTTCTAAAAAATATTAGCAATTACAGTTGCCAAGTAAGGTCTTGGTTCTCTAATAATCATGAACTCAAGACACAGTTACATGGACATCTTTGTGATATGTTTTAAAGATTTTATGATATTAAGGTGTCAATTATATTGGCCCTCAGAATTTTTATTAGTAAGGAAGTTTTAGTGCAATTTTTGTTGAACTGGTTTGGAAATTACTTAGTTATAACTCAGGTTCTCAAAAGTATCAACTTATTTAATTGCATTTAGATTCATTCCCTTTCAAAAGCTGCTGAAGAAATAAATGGTACTCAGAGCAGTTTACACTTGTAAATGCAATTAAAATTGTAAAGTCAGTTGGGAGACTCACTGGGATCTCTGATAATAGCAGTGGTTGTTACTCTTATATTCGAACTGATAAAGTGGAAAAAACAAAATCACTTCAGGAGTTTATACAATGACACCTATATTGCTGATACAAATTAAGTGGGCTACTCACATTCTTTTCTAGGTTAAAAAGTAATTTGTTCAAGTATACGAAGTAGTCCGTGTATTAATTTTTTTGTTCCTTCTGCTACTGCATATTTTAAGCTATGTTTATAAGACAAACATTTTCAAATTGAACTTTAAAACTGATTCAAGTTTTAAATTTTTAGTGAGCTAAAGAAGTTACAGGTACAGATCTGGATGAATGAGCTACAGTTTACATAAAATAGCCTTCTTGTATATTCACTGTATGTACATTTCTAACGAAAATATGTAATTGAATAGAAGTTCCTGATTTTGTATGGCAGATTGAATGATGCCACAGGAATGCCATTTCTGTATCAGTGCCACTCATTAGTTCTTGGGACTAATGGCACGTTAAACTATAAACATAGGAGTAACTTTACTGGAAGATGCCTTTAATTAACTTCTGAGAGCCTGGCCTAATTGCACATCCTAGTTACCTTGCTAGGATGGGCAAAACTTCATGGCAGTAGACCTCAAATAATAACTGGTAATAAGTTTTAGGTTTGTTTTTTAATATAATTTTAATTTTCCTTTATTCATTTAATTTTCCTTGAGTATTCGCTGTGTGCCAGGCACTATGACAATAAGGATGCATATAAAACAGATGGTCCCCTTTCTCACAGAACTTACCTTCTAGAAGGGGATAAAGGCCAGTGAAGAAGCAACTGTACAGTCTGGTGTGATTAACTCAGATGTTACTGGTTAGAAAAGGCTTCTTTAGAGGAAGTGAGAACTAGATGGGATGGTGAGGAAGACCCAGATAATGTAGTGGGAGTAATAATGGAGTGAAGGATTTAATATGCTGTACTGCTAGACTTCAGGGGGAAAAAAAAATCTGTTAAGATGGACAGTAAAACATCTGGGATGGGGCTGCAGGGAAGAACTGTCAAGGAGGACACCCAGGTTTCTTCCTTGAGCAGGTGGTGGTACCAGACTCAGGAAGAAGATTGGGTTTGGGTGGTAAAAATGGAGGAAGAGGAGTGTCATTTAGGCAGGGTGAGTTTCAGAAGCCTGTGGGACATCTAAGTAGAAATATTTCCCACATTCAGAACTCTTCCTGACATGACTTTTTTTATGTCTTTTATAGGGGATTTTTCACCTGAGTGTCTGAATCGGAAATTTATTTTACATTTATGTATTTTCACATTAAATTGAATATTGTAGTTCTCTGACTTGCTGTTTATCTCAGCAGATTACCAATATGCGTATAATCATGTGCTTACCGGGTTCCAAGCATTAATTTGGGGATTTAAGTAAAAGTTAAAAAATTATTTCTGGAGGACAAAAAGTTATATTACATGAATTACTAAGAAGCAACGTTGGGTAAAAATATCTTTAAAAGCCCACATTAGTCTTCAAATAAACATCCATCATACTGATTTGTTGTTGAAGCTGTGGGGTACATCAGGAAATTTGTTTCATATAATTTTTTATCTTTTTTTAATACAATTTCTGAACATTCCAAATAAAATTTTAAAAACCCGAAAAAACAAGGGCTTCCCTAGTGGCGCATTGGTTGAGAGTCCACCTGCCAATGCAGGGGACACGGGTTCGTGCCCCGGTTCGGGAAGATCCCACATGCCGCGGAGCGGCTGGGCCCGTGAGCCATGGCCGCTGAGCCTGCGCATCCGGAGCCTGTGCTCTGCAGCGGGAGAGGCCACAACAGTGAGAGGCCCGTGTACCACAAAAAAAAAAAATATATATATATATATATAAAAGCAAAAAATAATGCCTTTCTGTAGCGTAGTTTAGAACCCTTTTTATATGCTGAAGGACTTCCTTTCATACATAGTAAAGGAGAAACAATTTACAGTGTTCAGATTCAGCTAAAGCATTGCTGCATGATTAGTGCTGTGGCAGTGGACCGAGTGAGAATGAGACTGTTTACTGTTTCAGGGATTGGCTAGCCGTCTGCCTCATCTTAGGCCAGTGAGCCCTAAGAGAGTTTATAAAGAGTAAGGAAGCTCTTTAATGAATCCTCCAAAGTTAGTAAAGTAAGCAAGCTATCAGGTTCTCTCTGCCTAGCAGTAAGTATTAGAATCAAACAGCAGAATGGAGGTATTTCTTATTTTGTCTATAATTGATACTAACTACCTTTTTGTCTTACTTATGATATGAAACATGCATAATAACAATACTTTTAATATTTTTATTCTAATCAAGGTTTGTGAACTTCCTTTTTTATGTTAATTTACCAGGTTTTGAAATACAGCTGTGAGGTTTTGCACTTAAATATTTTAATTCTGCTGGAAATTTGACCCAACCAGACAATAACTGGTAAAAAATATATACACACACAGTTGTAGTACAGGTACCAAAGGGGTAAATAAAACGTGTATGAAATTCTGTTTAAGTTCAGTTTTTACACTCAGTGGAAGAAACAAGGCTGAGATAGTTGAGTTTACCTGGTGAGAGTCGTTGGCTCTCGTCTGCTTAGACTGTTAATGTTTAGGAGGTGTGCCCCATAGCTTACTTGTGAGGGAACTGACAGCCCAGTTAGCACTGGTTTTGGCAGTCTTAGCAGGACCTACCATTGGCTGATGTTATGTCATTTTGGAACAAATTAGTATTCGCAAGCACTTTTATACCTGATTTAATGCCATTAAAGCACAAATACTTCATTATCTTAGTATTAGCCAGCGTTTGCAGTTCAGTTAATAAAATTGTTACAACTTCAGTTTTTAAAACAAGGGGTGAATACAGAATGTAATTTTTTCTGACGAAGTCAGCTAAAACTTTTTTTTTAACCTAGCACCTGAGTGGCTCTCCACTTACTCTGTTTTCAAAGCTAAGCAGATTTAGACTGCTTAATTCTGGCAGGCATTAATTTTCAGTTCCACATCCCTTATTCACCTTCAGTATAAAAGCATTGCTGTTTGACCTTAAATGGTTTGAACTTATGAAAATGTATGAATGTATTCTATATTTGGAAGTGTGTTGTGTATTTGAAAAGGTATTCTGTATTTTAAAAAACAATTGAGATAGTATGCTTAAGCCGTACTAAAAAGTTGGGAAACATAAACATGTAATATGAATATTTCCATTATTTATGGTGCATAATGAACACTTGTGAGTTCAAGAATTATACTGGTTATTGTACCTTGGTAGACTGAATGTGTTGCTATATGAGTAATAATTGTGTGTAATGCATTTCTTCTAGAGATAAAATTATCTTGATAAAGTTTTAATAAGTATCAAACGTGAAAACATTTTAGATGCTTTTCTTAAAAAAATAAACAGTTCATCGACTTTTTGAGGCTTTTATTAATGTGTATTTCTCTTATTGAGCCTATAATAGAAACTTTTTTCAAGTGTGTACTTCAGGAGGATTAGTGAAGAAAGCACTATAATATCAAGGCCAAGATTCTGTAAATGTAAACTGCTGGTTCAGTAGTACTTTTTAATATTATGCAACAACATGCCTCTGGGCTGAGGTTGAAACTGAATCATTAAGCCCTTAGAAAGGCTTTACTATTCATAAGAATTTAATATTTCTGCTGTTCAGAATTTACTGAATAGTTAAATTGAAGCATAAATTATTAGGCTGTATTTTATATTAATACCAATATTCTTCAGCATTTTTCCTCTGATTTACAAATTATCAGTGTGTTTTACTAAGATTTGTATTTCTTAATGCACCTTATAATAAACAAAACTGTCTCAAGTCTTCTGTTTCTTTTTTTTTCTTTAGGAATACCAAAATCTAATCTCTTGCACACCAAATCATTAAGGGGCCATAAAGACTGCTTTGAAAAATACCATTTGATTGCAAACCAGGATTGTCCTCGATCTAAGCTTTCAAAAAGTACTTATGAAGAAGTTAAAACCATTCTGAGTAAGAAGATAAACTGGATTGTACAATATGCACAAAATAAGGATCTGGATTCAGATTCCGAATGTTCTAAAAATCCCCAGCATCACCTGTTTAATTTCAGGCATAAGCCAGATAAAAAGTTACTCCCACAGTTTGACTCCCAAGTACCAAAGTATTCTGCAAAGTGGATAGATGGAAATGCAGGTGGCCTCTCAAACTGTACACAAAGAATATTGGAACAGAGGGAAAATACGGACTTTGGGCTTGCTGTGTTACAAGATTCAGGTGCCACTTTATGCCACAATAGTCAATTGTGGCCTCATAGTCACAACCAGGAACAGAAAAAAGAAGAGACAGTCTCTAATCCAGAGGCTAATGTCCATACCCAGCATCCACATTACAGCAGAGAAGAATGTAAGTAAAAATAGGGAGAAAAGGTAAAGGTTGGAGTTTTGTTGGGGTTGTATATGTTTTATGTATGTGATGTGTCAAGAATTTTGCTGTGATATTATAGATTTGGTAAATACAGTATTTAAGTGACAGGTTCACCCTAGCAAAAATGAGATGTCTTAAAACTCTTCGTCATTTCTTTGGAATATTCCTTAGTAGGTCCTAAACCATTGGAATTCTGCAGGCCCATCATTTGTTTTGCCATTTTAAATTATTAACGGAATGGAATCAACAACTGTGAATTGGAAAGTTCAGGGTTCATATAGTTTAGAAGTACAGCCTCAACCATTGACAAACACACACTGGCACATTGCTATTCCCTACAAGACTAATTGGGGGTGGCATTTCAAAAGCAGAAATCTGACATTTCACTAAAGGCCAAAGGTAATGTGTGTACTTGGAAAAAGTGACTCATTCAGTCTGCATATTATTTCTTCAAAAACTCATAGGAGCTAAGATAATTTTAATTGACTTAAAATCAAATGATCTTAGAGCTAGAAGGGTGCTTGGGTATATTTTTATAAAACTCCTTGATTCTACATATGAATTATCTAAGGTTATATAGCTAGGTAGACAAATTGATTTTTCAAACTATTTCCATAGCACTTTAGTGTTTTTCAAGCTACACATCATGAAGCATGTAGTGCTTAAGCAAAATCAACTTGATGGGTAGTGACTAGCACTTTTTAAAAACTGAAACAGAATGAGAAATAGCAGAATCCATTGCACCTAATGCTAAGAGTTTTTCAATGAACCTTTTATTACAGGTGGAGGTAGACTGGGAGTGAAATGTTTCTTACTGTGGGTTGTGGTCAGAACTTGAAAACTCAACACTTTAGGAGTTAATGAATCTTGGGGCCCTGCAGAATGTTATGTGGGAAGATAAGTGCAAATATTTCTTTTAAATAGGATATTGTGTTGGTGGTGTAGATAACTTCTTTTCCCAGGTTGTCATGGTAATAATGAATATGTTTTCATGTTTCAGTGAATTCGATGACTCTTGGTGAGGTAAAGCAACTGAATGCAGAGCTCCGACAACAAATACAGGGTAAAGACTCAGTGTCAGTGCTTTTTACATGTGCAAATTTTGATACAGAAAATCCCCTGTTAGCTTCATCTGCATTTAAATTATGGGATTAGAACCTGCTCGAGTTTCCAGAGCAAAAAGAATTCTTCTTATTATTCTTTATGAACTGCAGGTGAAATAGGTTCTTTTTTAGGTGAAAACGGAGACAACTTAATCTCTACCTCTTACTAACATGTTTTTGACTACCTACTATTGTACCAGGCACTGTGCAGGTGTGCTCCTTAGCAGTTCTTTTAGGGCAGGTGGTGTTGGCCCCGTTTTTTCTTAATTATTAAATTTTCTAAACACAAAAGTAATCAGAATAGTATAGTGGAACCGTTGACCCGTCTTTCCCAGTTTCAACTATAATCAAAAGCGTAGCTAATTTTCCTTCATCTCTGCGTGCACCCATTCCCCTCGACCCACCCCTACCTCCAGCATGGATTATTTTAAAACAAATCCCAGATAACATTTTGTTTTGTCCGTAAATAGTGTAGAATTTTCTCAAAAAAATAACATTTTTTAGGCAATCACAACCTCTATCACATCTTTAAAAAAAAATGGCTAGTAATTTGTTAACATCATCAAATAGGATGCTGAAACAGTGTTCAAATTCCCCAACTGTTTCTTTTTTTTTTTTTCCTACAGTTGATTTCCATTTAGGTGAGGAAACTAACTGTGCTTCAAAGACATTAAGTTGCTTGCAGTTGCTTTAGTTGCTTAGAGAGATCATGCTTTCAGTCAGTAACAGATTAAGGATTATAACCCCTGTCTTTAACTCCAAAGCTAGTAGTCTTTCTTGACCACACACCCTCTCAGAATAATAAGATAATAATAATAGCACCTTATATTTATCAAGTACTTATTCTGAGGTAAGTACTTTACAAGTATGATCTTATTTAATACTCAACGATAACCCTGTGAGGTGCTTACTTTCATTATCGAGGTTATATATAAGAAGAAATTAAAACATAGTTTAGGACTTCCCTGGTGGCGCAGTGGTTAAGAATCCACCTGCCATTGCAGGGGACATGGGTTCGAGCCCTGGTCCGGAAAGATCCCACATGCTGCAGAGCAGCTAAGCCCGTGCGCCACAACTACTGAGCCTGCACTCTAGAGCCCGCAAGCCACAACTACTGAGCCCACGAGCCACAACTACTGAAGCCCGTGCGCCTAGAGCCGCACTCCGCAACGAGAAGCCACTGCAATGAGAAGCCTGAACACTGCAACGAAGCACTCACCGCAACTAGAGAAAGCCCGCGCACAGCAATGAAGACCCAAAAACAAATAAATAAATTTATTAAAAAAAAAAACAACATAGTTTAAGTTACTTGCCTGAGACTCGTGAGAGTCGGAACAAGGATTCAAAACTCCGGTAGTCTGATTCCAAAGCCTCTTAGGGGGGTTCCAGACCTGGGTATTAATGGGCACTTTACTGTCCATAAGTCATATTAGAAATTGATTGAACCTGTTTATCTGTTCAGATTGAGAAAACTATCTCAGAGGTAGTTGTAACTGCCATTTCTGCTATGCATCTCTAAGTCATTGCTTGACTCTCAAGTTTCATTTGATGGAGAAAAGAAAAACAGTATTCCAGTTGGCTATGCAAAGCATACAGCTTCCTAGGATGATCAAAACACAACCGTTTCCTTGGTTTCAAACTACTTTCATTGCAAACATTTGCCCAGTGCATTCATTTTAATTAAAGTACTTGAAATATAAATCATAGATTAGCTTTCTGTGTACTAAAAATGGAACTACTTTTTAAATCTTTACAGAAGTTTTTGAAGAGTTAGCCCACCAAGTGCAAGAAAAAGATTCTTTGGCCTCAGAGCTCCATGTCCGCCACATTGCCATCGAACAGCTTCTCAAGAACTATTCCAAGTTACCGTGTCTGCAAATGGGACGAACGGGAATGAAGTCACACCTACCCATAAACAACTGAACTCTAAACTTACACATCCTTTCTATGGCCTGCCATTTTTTTGGCCTGCCGGGCATGCACACTTTGAAGAAGTTGAAGAAAGTTATGGTCAATTATTTTATGGTCATTAAATTTGCAAAACTTAAGGCAGCGTTTAACATCTTTGTCAAATAAAGCAGATCATTACACTCTAGTCTTCTAGGGTTAATCATTTTGGTTCATTTGGGAAATCTTTTTTCCCATAATTACTAAACAGCCCTCCCTAACTTTTACCACATGTGACTACTTAAATATACTGTTAGAGTGTGACTTTGTTAAACATGGTTTAATGTAATTCACCTGTCAGAACAACAGAAGGTTAAAGTTCTTAGGTTAGTCTAAACTACTAAAGATAACATTTAAGAGGTAAATAGAATTCATAATATCACCTCTTATTTATTGAGCAATATTTTAATATGAAAATTTTATATATAAAAATAGTATTTTAGGTACCTTTTCATTCTGTTTATAAATGTGTATTTGAATGGCTCTGTATATTATATTTACACTTTCATGTGTGAATGTTACCCATATTTCAGATCACTGCATTTTATTCTCTTAATAATGTTTTTACAGCTGTTATCTTATTTTCCAAAGATAAATGTATTTTGGCATAGAAATCTATCTAGTTGAATTGTTTTGACTTCTAATAACTCTTATGAAAGAGGAATTAATAACTTTTTAAAGCAAGTATACAGGAAAATAAAAGACATTATTTTTTTCTAACAAAAACAGTTATGAGTCCAAGAAGAAAATGCTAATCTAGTTTCTGTATGTCAGCTTGTCTCCATAGAAGTAAAAGCCTATTCTACATCATTATTACTTTCATTCTAATGACTTTGATGTGTTAGATTTGGACAGAATTTAAGTCAAGTCTCACTTCCAAGTCAAATGTAATGTCTATCTTCAAATATAATATGTCATGAAATTGTTGTCCTATCTTTGAAAAAAATTAAAATCATTTTGTGTACCACTTAAGATAAAAGTTCAAGAATCCTTCAACTGTCCAAATTCTGTTATCAACATCACTGAAAGTAGTGCCCAAAGAAAGCATTTTCTAAACTTTAGAATCTAAAGGAAAAGAGAAGATTGCTCGTCACAGAAAAACAGAACTCTAATTCAAAAAAAAAGTCCGTTTTTAAGAGGATACTCTTATTGCCTATCATGTTTCCAAAGAATTCTGAACAAATAGTTTGTCTCAAACAAACAGCTAGATAAGTTTTCAAATAATATAGTAAAAGCTATAACCAATGCAGAATTAAAATGGGCTCTAAATTCTGTTTTCAACTGGTACTTAGAATGTATTTATGAGGTAAGATCCTTTGCTTGAAAGAATCCACAGAAAAGCCCATTAACTTGGCAGTTTCACGCATAAAGATATGAATAACTTCTGCCTTAAATTTGGCAGCCTGCCCTGGTTTGGGTCAGATTTTAGTCTTGAACACAAAGAGTATTTGACTAAGCAAAGAAACACCTCAATCTAGTAGAAAACAACTTTTTGTAACGCTAAAATGTGTTAAATTTGCCTGAGGATATCAATTGATATCTCACTGATTTTGTTTTCTTTGAAATACGACATAACTGCTTTTCGGAGGGAGCTTTTCAAAGATGTTTTCAACTTCTCTCAGTCCTTTGAGTCACCCAGAATGAATTTAAAATCCAGGGAGTGGGGGCTTCCCTGGTGGCACAGTGGTTGAGAGTCCGCCTACCAATGCAGGGGACACGGGTTCGTGCCCCGGTCCGGGAAGATCCCACATGCCGCGGAGCGGCTGGGCCCGTGAGCCATGGCCGCTGAGCCTGCGCATCCGGAGCCTGTGCTCTGCAGTGGGAGAGGCCACAGCGGTGAAAGGCCTGCGTACCACAAAAAAAAAAAAAAAAAAAAATCCAGGGAGTGGGAATGCATTGCCTTAGTTGTGATAAGCTTTAATTGAATGTGTGCAATATCAAAATCTATAAACTATAAGTTGAATAAAGACATTTCCTGATGAAGCCGATAAGTATCTCAGTGCTTCGTTGTTATGGTCAGATTTTCAAATTTGACTTTACTCTTTTTTGGCATAATTCATTAAGAATCTTCCCAGCCAGGGTGCTTCTACACATTTGTGGTTCTATTTAGGTCACTTAGGGACAGTCATAAAAGTTTGGGATGTGTTGCCTTTGATGTAAGTAGTAGCTTGTCGCCAGAACATGAGCCATATGGTGCAGTCCCAAATATAACAGTGTTATCCAAAGAAAGTGTTTGCTTATTTCTTAGAGTTTCTGGCAAATTTATAGCATTACTAATGAGTTTGGCACAATTGGATGGGGGCGTATATACCAAGGTGTTAATTGAGGACTCTAATTTATTCCATTTAGATATTTCTTACTTAAGTCCTTCAAAGGCAAGGTGCTCTTAAAAAATACCTGTGGTGCTGGTACTTGCACTAGTACTTAATTTGGAAGGATATCCTAGTTAAAAAAAATTTTTGAAAATATTTTGCACAGCAGTTTATCCAAATATTTGGTAAACTTATTTTATATTCCTATGTTAGTTTTCTTGAATATTCAATTATTGTATATGCTAAAATAAGGGTAAGGGATAGAGTTGAGTTTTCAGAGAACATGAAATACCGCAAATATTGGTTACCATGCTTGGCTATTTTTCTGCAGAGTTGTTGGTACTTTTTGAGGAAGTTTAGAAGAAAACCTCACATATACCTTTAGTTTCAAAAATGGTAAAAAAAAGAGATTGCTAATCAGCCATTATTGACATCTTCACAGCTTATATGATTAAAGGGAGTGAAATAAGACTAATATTTTTTTCACTTTAGATTTCATAATTAGACAAGTTGAATTAAGTTTAAAACATCAGTTGTTTAAAGTTATTTTGACCACACAAGATTGTTCTCTTTAAAGATTTAAAATGCTTGCAGCCTTTTATTTAAGCTAAAAACCTATTTACTTTGCGATTATTATCCTTTGATCCTAGTATTTAGTATCCAAATTAGTCTTTTTTTTTCTTAAAGGCATGCACTTAAGAGACCAATAATAGATGATGCATGCAGGCAGCAGGATAGTGTTTCTTTCCGTTATGTAGTTGCTTACACACAGTGTTGGAGCAGAGAAATGTTGTTAGTTTTTCAAATTATATGTTCATTTCACCACAAAGTGCCCATTTTTATATGCATTTGAGGATTGTTTTTAAAATAAATTCATGTTGGAAAGTGATTTCAGAAATATAGTCAAAATATATTGTTTTGTTATTGGCATCTTGACAAGCATCTTGAGATTTCTCGGGTTTTTTATTCTACTGTATTCTTTACTGCTGAAAATGGTTTAAAGTTCATTCTTTTTTGTTTATATTTTTTTTTTACCTAGGTGTTTACAATGTTGAGTCTTTTGGTCAGTTTTTGCCACATTTTGTTTTTTTTTTAATATTTTGGGATGAATGTCTGTGTTAATGTTTACCAGTTTTGGCTTTATTTTGTTTTGTTTTGGAAGAAATCTGCTAGTGTTATTAATGTTGTAAAATGTAATACAAAATGTATATGCTCAAAACCTCAGTAGGAACTTTTAAAGAAATTATTTGTGTAGCTTAGTAGGAGGTTCAGGTTAGTGACCATAAAATAAAGTTACGTGACATAAAAAATTTTCAAATGGTACAGTGTAAAGTTCTTGTAGTGTTATTTTTATGCTAAAGTAAGATATGTGAGTAATTTTAAGTACTTAATAAAAAGTTTAGTACTCTACCAATAGATTTTTTTAAAATATCTTTTGTTCAGATGTGGCTGTAAAGCAAAGATAATTGATTTCATTTCAGTGTTCAATTGCATTTTTAACTTTAGGTTGGTGGAAATAATTATTTGAGGAAATTTGTGGTGGTGGGGTGGGAGAGAGTTTATTACCAAAATAATAAGGTAATAAGGCTCTGGCACAAGTAAAGGTATCTTGGAGGGGGGCTGTAATACTGTGCTTGGAATAACAAGGTTCTGTCCAGCGTCTTAAGTACTTTCATTCACTTCATCCTTTCATAACTCCCCTTATGATAATGTAGTCTAACCTATTAAGCAGCTTGGTCACCTTGCTATGAACCATATCATAGCAAGTCTCTAGCGTTGAGATTTCTTGAGCACCTAGTTTGTAACATATGCTTTTCCTATTCTTTTTAGTTTAAAATAATCCAGATTACTAATGCATTTCAGTGATGTTGAATTAGTCCACAATTTTAATCCTACCAAATTAAAAAGTTTAAAAATCATGAAGATGAGTATTGCCCTCCACCCTCCCTTCAGAAAAAGTGTTAGTTGAACTTCCCTCAACTGCACAGAAAGCAAAGGGAATTTTAGTAAGTGTGTGTTTCTTCTTTCAAACGTGTAGAATGTTTATTTCCATTCTACTGCCTCCAAAAGAGGCATTTTAGAAAGTGTTCAGTAGTGACTTCTGTTAAATGCCATTCATACTTTTACAATTTGTGTGTGTGTTAATGTTGCTTTAAACTTGAGTAGAAATTCGTACAAAATTGTCTAAGACCTTTGAGAAAAGAAAATGAAGCTGCAGTGATGAAAACCAAGTTGGTTTCAAAAAAGTTTATTTAGACATTACTTGGCTGTTATATTTTCCTTTTAAAACTGCAATAATTTATATATTTGTATTGCTCTGCTTTGGAACTGTAACTACATATGCTTGTCTACTATTTTTAATTTTACAACAATAAAATAAATATTTTATTATCTGCTAGCTTCAGTGGATATTTTTGTGTCCGTATATTTTCTTTAAATTATTGACCCAAATGAAAAGTTTTGTTTTTCATGATTAGGGAGTCTATACTTAGAATTGTTATCTAACAGTTTCTTAATTTTTTGTGAGAATCTTTCTTTGATACTTAATATTCCCTCTGTCCCAAGAGTTCAGAAGCAGAAAATAAGATTCCTGTGGCTTTCTAGATGTCTATACAACTTTTTAATTTGGAGTGTACTTTTTACATACAATAAATAGACAGATTTTAAGTGTGTTGTTTGAGTTTTAATAAGTGTATACAACTGTGTAACCATCCCCTCTTTGGGCCCCTTTCTAATCTCTTCACTCTCCATTTCCTTTCCACTGTTCTGATCTCTATCACCGTAATTTGCATTTGCCTGCCTTAGAACTTGACATAAATATTATTCTACAGGATGTGCTCATTTGCTTCTGGCTTTTTTCACTCAGCCAGCTGCTCTGAAATTCATCTATATTAATGCAGGGTTCAGTAGTTCATTCCCTCTTTTTTAGCTGACTAGTCTTTTGTGTGTATTATAATTTGTTTATCCATTCATCCTGTTGATGGACTTTTGAGTTGTTTCCAGTTTAAGGTTATATGAATAAAGCAGTTGTGAATATTTTTAAGTTGGCCTTTAAAAGGGTATTAAAATAATAAAGTATTCAAAATTACTCATGGTTAGCACTATGAATCTGAATTTTGTTTTTAATTATCATTTTTCCCACAAATGATTTTTAAAGTAATTTATATACCTTGTAATAATTTGAAACTAGGAAACAGTTGTTCAAGAGATAAGAGGAAGATTACAAAATAAGGGATGTTTGAGAATTGAAACATTTAATGGGTTGCAAAGAATACTGATCGTCCTTGAAGGTCTCTTCAAAGTCTAACAGTCTAAGACCACTTTGTTTTCCAGAAGAGGCAATGAAGACCAAGAGAGTCTGGTTTGGAGAAAGTACTGGAAAGAGCGCCAGACCACAAATGAAGTTGTTCTCCTATTTAGCTTTAACTGCTTTGTGACGTTAAGGGAAATTAATCGCTTAAACTTTTCTAAGCCTGAATTCACTAAGCTAGAGCCAACAGTTGGTAAAATGTAAGCCTCTGCTTCATCATCTTTGTTCCTGCACAGGTTCTGAGCCTTCTCAAGAATTTTCAAAGTACTTGTAAAATGATTTGTTCGCCCTCATTTTTAAATGTCATTACAGGACCCAAAATTCTTTGTAGGTGTCTTAGAGACTGGTAAGTAGGTGTGAGTATGATGAATAGAAAGGAGGGGGAGCTGCAGGCAGAACGCCTTTTAAATCATTTATATATTGGTGTTCTAAATTATTAATTAAAAGGTTTTAAAAGGTTTTATCTTTGGAATCTAATCTAGATGATGTCTTAGGTCCCTTGTAAAGTTCCACACGACTTGCAAGTTTACATCAGTGTATTTTTCTTTGGGGGGGGGAGGGGCGACATGTGCTCTGCATCTGAATCCCATTCCAGTGTTCAAATGGCACAGACGACTTTTACCTGTGGAAGCAAAAACTTCACCCAACCTCCCTTGCAACTGGGACACCGCACCCTAATTGGCGAAGCAAAGAAACTGGGTAGGAGAGGATCCACGCTGAGAGCAGCAGCGTCTATCACTAGGGGAAACATCTGGTATATCCAATGGGGACAACAGTAAGCTCCTAGCATCTGGTGTTGAGTAGCCATTGCTCTGAGAATTTGGCCATGAACCTAGTAGCTGATGAATCACCTTTGTTGCTTCCTGGTTTCCAAGCTTGCTGGGCAATCTCTACCCATTGAATAAATTCCTTTTCAGCCTAAATCAACCAGTTGCCTTCTCTGGCTTGCAACTGAGAACCCTGTTACACTTCATTTCAGTGCTCTCCCGCTCTGAGATCTTACAGAATTGGTTTATAAAAGTGAACTGCTGAGAGCCACCACATAGCTGAACTATCCCTCAGGACCACATGGTCTGCCTTGGGTCAGCTGAAACATGCGAAGGTTGTAAAGAGAAATTAAATCTTTTGGTAAT